GCAGGGGTGGACTGACAGCTGTCCCAGCCAGCTACTTACCCGAGGGATGACACCTCTGACATAGGAGGGAGAAGAGAAGGGCAGGAGAGGGGAGTGGAAGGGCTTTTGTTGCAAAAAGCAGCTCCATTTTCACAGAGGTCCTTGGGCCCTGCCCAGCAATCCTGCCCCTCCCCTGGTCAGTCAAACGTCTAGCTTCCCCCCCACCCTGGCACTAATCTTCCCAGCCAAGATAAGAGGGTGGGGCAAAGGAGGGAGGGAGACCCTGAAGCAGACCTTGCTGAGTGTGCAGGGGACCTCTCAGACTTCACTGATTCTAGGACCCAATGCTCTCCTCCAGTTCTTTGCACAGACACCAGGACAGGCACTCTACCCAAAGATTTAATCTGTCCAAACCCTAGCCTGGCCCTCCACCACTGCAGGCCACAACTCCTTCTTTCACAAGGCCCTTCTTCCCAAGGTTCCAGTCAACGTGGGGCCCAGCAACCTGTTCTGGAGGCAGTTCTAAGGGCAAGGGCCAGGTCGCTTGGGAAGAGGGGGACAGAAGGGCCTCAGAGGATGGGTGAGTTCTTTGGAACTGTCTGGAGGCCGGAGAAGGACAAAGGGATCACATCAGAGGCATCCGGGCTGGACTAGGAGGTCCAGTGTGTTGAGCTGTAGCAGCAGCAGTGGGCAGCCAGCTGAGCTGACCTGGCCATGACAGACGGGAGCAGGGCTCAGCCCCACCTTCCTGGGCCCCAGGTACTCTGGTACCAAGGAAAAAACTCAGGAGGACCTGCTCCTGGATTCTGCTAGTTGCAAGGAACCCTGAGTCTTCGGAGGCCAGCCTCCAAGGTTCCAGCTCCTGGCTGAGTCCCAACGTGCAAAGCCTGGATCGCCTTTGGTTCAGACTTCCTGGGCAGCTCTCACCCAAGCTCCTGGCAAGGCAGCTGGACATCCCATTCCTGGGCTGAGGCAGTGGTCACTCACTGACCTCAGGGCTCAGATGCTGGTCACACATGTGATCCCAGGGCTCAGAGGCTGGTCACATACATGATTTCAGTGTACACCTGCTTCTTGGAACCATCTGTGCCTTCCACGGTGAGGGTCTGCTCCAGCGCAGCCTCCGTGATGGCTCCTTCCCCCTCGGCCTGCCTGCCCTGCCTCTCTTTCTTCCGCAGGGCACAGAAGCTACCACCCATGAAGAGGGCGGCTGAGATGAGGAAGAAGCTTGACATGTAGAAAACATAGCTGAAGTTGTTGTCAGAGATGTCCAGGAAGAACCCTGGGGGACAGACAGCAAGTTAGGCCACTGCCTGGGGCTACTAGGCCCCCCACCACTACACTGTGCTCTGCTAGAGCAGGGATTTTATTTTTGTCTCTGCTGTATCCCTAGTACTAGGAATTGTGGCTGGGACCTAGTAGGCTCTCAATAGATATTTGTTGAATGAAAGGAGAGGAAACACTAACCCTGCTCTGGCCCAGGCTGGAAGAGTTCTCGGGCTGGAAGAACACTGAAGGGCATGTCTCCCTCACCCTTGGTGGCAGGAAACCAAGGACACAAGGGCCAGTGGAGTCTGGGGTATCTGCTCAGCCACGCACTAGGCCCACCCCAACCTCCTCCTGCATAGCACTCACAGTGTGCCAGGCTCTCCAAGCTCTTTACTGTGTAACTTGCAATCCTCACAGCAAGCCTACCAGGTAGATTCTATGACCATCCCCACTTTGCTGATACGAAAACATAGGTACAAAGAGGAGGAGGAAGGACTCAGGTAAGTCTGGTACCAAAGACCCTTATTTGTAACTGTTCATACCCTGAGCACCAGTTGGGGGACAGGCAGTAGCCAGTCCCCTGGGGTGCTTGGGAAAATCAGAAATTCCAAGTCTACCTCTGGGATGCTGGATGGGGCCCAAATCTATCCAGACTGTTTCCCTTTGTCCCACCCCCATAGCCTGCCAGCCCAGGCCACACCCACGCACACCCAGCTGCCCTCCCTCCCAGGGCCTCACCAGCCAGTGGTGGGGCGATGAGGATGGAGATGCTCTCCAGGACAGTGAAGAGGCCCAGGGCCCTGGAGAACTGATCCATGGGGACAATGTCCATGAGGACCTGGAAGAGGAGGGCACCAATGCCACTCATGGACACGCTGTACACCAGGCAGTAGCCCACCAGCACCCGGAAGTCAGCCGACACTGTGCACACCAGGTTGGTGAGCCCGTTGAGCAGGGCTGCCAGGCTGAACAGGTACTTGCGGTGGCCAGCAAAGTCCCGCCGGCCTGCCATCAGCCCAGCCATGGGCCGTAGAAAGATGTTGCTAAAGCCGATGATGGAGATGAGCAGGGCTGCCCGGTGCTCGTCCACCCCATGCCGTATGGCGTATGGCACCAGGAAGATATGCGGCAGCCCGAAACCCACGATCATCCACATGACACCTAGCGTGTACACACGGTAGCCTGTGTTGTGGCGCAAGATGTCGAAGGCCAGGTGGCGCTGTATGGCCCGGCTACACGCTGCCGGGCAGACGGGCGCAGGTGTCTTGGAAGGTGGAGGGAGGCCTTTTCTGGTCTCAGGGGCCATGCTGGTGGCCACAGGCCTCATGATGGCCCCGGAGACACAGCAGTGGAGAAAGACCCCGCCGAAGACAAGGAAGGTGCCCCTCCAGCCCAGCTCCTCCAGGAGGTAGCGGGAGAGGAGTGGCCAGAGTGTGATGCCCAGCGAGACGCCCATCGAGGCCAGCGCGTTGGCCAGCGCCCGCCGGCGGGTAAAGTAGAAGCCCAGCACGGTGATGCTCGACTGGAAGCTGAAGCTCATGCCCAGGCCTGTGGTGGGAGAGGGGAGACCAGCTCGAGGGTATTCTGGGGCCTCGTACCCTCACCCAGACCTGGGGTCATGTCCCATGTCTGCCCTCCTTCCATTCTAGCCTAGACCCACTTCCATGTTCCTAGGGATTTAAGATGGACTCAGCCTGCCTCGCCACCTCCCTAGAAGCATCCCACCCCTCAGATCTGCCCTCCCCAGCCTGCCAGGGTTACACCCATTCCCCTTGGCACAGCACCTGAGTGATCTTTAAAACCTAAGGTGGCTGGGGCCGGCCTGGTGGCGCAAGCGGTTAAGTGTGCGCACTCTGCTGCGGCGGCCTGGGATTCACCGGTTTGGATCCTGGGCGCGCACCGACGCACCACTTGGCAAGCCATGCTGTGGTGGCGTCGCATATAAAGTGGAGGAAGATGGGCACGGATGTTAGCCCAGGGCCAGTCTTCCTCAGCAAAAAAAGAGGAGGATTGGCAGATTTTAGCCCAGAGCTGATCTTCCTCACAAAAAAAAAAAAAAACCTAAGTTGGGTTAAGTCTCTCCCTTGCTCAACAACTTCCAAAGACTTCCCATCACACCTACAAAAAAAGCCAAAGTATTTACTATACCCTGGAAGGCTCTGCACGGTTGGGCCCCTGGCAACCTTTTGGGTGCCATCTCAGGCCACTCTCTCTCACTCACCATGATCAAGCCCCATCAGCTTCATTCTCTTCCTCTGGACACCAAGCTCTCTCTACCTTGGGGCATTTGCAGTTGCCATTCCCTCTGCCTGGAACATGCTTCCTGCAGACTTTCCTCTCCTGACTCAGCTCGGATGCCACCTCTCCACCCACTCTGTGCCTGCCCCCACGCACATGCTGCAGAGAAAGCTCACAACCACGCCGCGACCACCGGCTTCAGGTGCCCTCGGGCTGCTGGTGATGCCACTACGGTTCCCTCGACTATTTACTCTCCCGCCCTCCTAGATGACCACTGGGCCTTCTTCCTCTGTGCACCCCAGCACCTCCCCTCCTCACTCCCACTGACCGCCTGCCTTCCCGCCTGTGCTGGTAGACCATCCGTGCTCCCAGTCAAGGCCAACCTGCATGTTGTACTAAGACATATCTCTCCAGCAATTTCCCTCTGTCTTGTATCATCCATTTTTCTCCTCTTTACTAGATCATTCTCCTTCATTATTTCTCCCATTAAAACGAAAGAAAACAAAACCCTCTGTTGACCCCACAGCCTCTTCTGGGTACCAGCCTATTTCTCTGTTCCCCTTTCATCGAATTTCTTGGAAGTATTGTTTATCTCTGCTGCCCCCAATTTCTCTCCTCATGTTCTCTTTTGAACCCATTTCAATCAGACTTTCACCCTCACCTCTACTCCAGAATTGCTGTTATCAAGGTCACCGAACTCCACATTGTCAAATCCGAAGATTGAGTCTGGTCCCTGCTCTATCTGATCCATCAGTGGTTTAACAGTCGATCACTCCCTCCTCCTCGCCCGCTTTCTTCCCTCGCTTTCTCAAGGAACCCCACTCTCCTGGTTCTCCTTCTCCCTCTCTGTCACTTCTTCCTCCCCAGATCGCTAAACACTGGGGTGTCCTGGGGCTCAATCCTTAGGCCTCTTCAGCCGTCTACCTTGATTCGCTTAGTGACAGCGGGGCGATAGCTCATCTCAAGACTTGAATGTCAGCCATCTCTTGATTCTCCAGCTCAGGGCCTGTTCCCTGAACTCCAGACCAGGTATGTCCAGACCTGACCTTCCCATCTTCCCGCAAACCTGCTCCTCCCCTTGTTTCCCCATTGTAGTTAGTGGCTTAGGGCTAAAAACCTTGGTGTCACCCTTCTGGGCTTTTGGAACATTGGGTCATCCTTGACTCTTCTCTGTTCCTCACGTGCAATCCTGAACCTGACCACTTCTCCTCACCTCCATCATCCCACCCTGGTTTAAGACACAAACAACCACCTCACACCTGGGTTATGACCACACCCCTGCCTGTTCTGCTCCTAGCCTACCCCCCTACAGTGTATTCTCAACACTGAAGCCAGAGAGGCGCTTTAAAAATAGCGGTTGGATGACGTCACTCACCAGCTGCCCAAACCCCTCAAATGGCTTCCCATCTCACTACAAAACCTTTTAGGAACTGAACCCCCATCCGGCCTCCACCCCACCCCTGTGACCCCCATACGCACTGTTCCTTGAGCATTTCTGGGCCTTTGCACTTGCTGTTCCTGCTGCCTGAATGCTCTTCCCCAGAGAGGGGGCAGACTCCCTCACCTGTTAGTGCTCTGCCCAAATGGCACCTTCTCTGTGAGGCCTTCCTTGACCACCCTGTCAAAAGCAGCAACCTCCTCGACCCCACTTTACCTTCTGCACTGAGTGTTCCAGATAGTCTGCCTCTTTACTTGTTTCATCTCTGGCCCCCCCCCACCCGAGCCAGGATACTATCACATCAGCTGTCCTGTCTTCTCACAAGCTTGTCATGATCATAAATAATCCTTATTTATCTGTTCACTGTCCCTTTCCTTTGTGTGACTGTAAGCAGCCCCAGAAGATTGGGAGCTCTGCCTGCCCTGTTCACTTGTGCCTGGCACTTCTCAGTAGGCACCCGGTAGTTCTCGAAATGGAAGGACAGTCACCTGTGATGAATCCTGCTGTGAGGTAGAGCTGGCCGAGTGTGCGGCAGAAGGAGCTGGCCACCATGCCCAGGCACGCCAGCAGGCCCCCCAGCATCACCGTCACTCTGCAGCCAAAGCATCCCACCAGGATGCTGCACAGCGGTCCTGTGGGGAGGAGGCAGGGAGGGAAGGGATGAAGAGCCAGCCTGCAGGTGGCAGCTGAATAAGGAGGTCTGGAGGGAGGAGGAGAGTGGGGATGTGAGGGGGTTCCAGCGGGAACTAGCCAGATGGCTTAAAGGGCACAGGCCCTGGAGCCTACAGGCCTGGATTCTGATCCCCACCCTGCCACAGATTAGCTATGGGCCCGAGCAAGGCTGATCCCTCTCTGTGCCTCACTTTGCTCCCCTACAGCATGAGGGGTCAGACCAGCTGTGCGTGTAGTGCTGCTAATGTTCTTTTGGACCCCAACAAGGGTTCCCAGAGGCCCAGACTGAGGCCCCTCACTGCACTGACCTGAAGCTGCTTCCATCCAGGTAAAACAGAACTGGCTCATAACCTGGGTGAATGCCCCTCACTGGGGGTAAGTCTCAGTGGGCGAGGGTCCTGGGGCATCTAAATCATGGTGAGTATCTCCAGCCTCTGCTCCCCATCATCCTTAAGAAGACTGGCCACAGCCCTCCCACCACCCTCCAGCCTGCCTAGGGTGGGCAGCCTGGGGCCCTGGGCCACTCTGCACCCCTTGCACTTGCCCCTGGAGAAATCTGGTGGGGTACCTTCTCCCCTCCCCCATCACCTCCAGCCACCCCCAAAGTCTTGCACCCAGATGTCTGGCTCCTGGTGCAGAGGGGCCTGTCCTTTCCCACCCCACCCCCAGCCCTGTTTTCTCACCAGCCCAGACCTAGAGTAGAAATGAGCCAGTCCTGGCTGGCTGTTCCTCGACATCTTGCAGGGCCCCATTCACCAAGTGCCCTGCTTCCAAGTACACATAATGGAGTTTCTTCAGAGTTACTCTCCCAGAGGGCAGCCAAAGGGACAGAGTGTGTGTGTGCACATGGTGTGTGTGTGTGTGTTTGGGATGGAAACCAGATGTGTGGGTGTGAGCCAGTATGAGTAACAGCAGAGACATAGGAAGTGAGCAGCCCATTCTCAGAGATAACCAAGCAGAGGCAGCTCTAGAGGAAGAGGCGAGGCTTTGGGGTGGACAGGACCAGTGACCCACACATCTTCCCCACCCCTATACCTTGGCCTGACTTTGTTAAGGTGACACTGGGGAAAGCCGAGTTACTGAGTTGGGCGTGGGGCTGGGAGGTGGGCCAGCTTAGCTGAGATAGCTGGGGGGCGGGAGGGGGCGTTGGGGTGGGGCGCTGCTTCTGCCCTGAACTCACTTTGCAACCTGGGCAGCCTTGTACTTTGTGCTTGCTTGCTTTCCTCCTCTCTAAAAAGTGTGGGGGCAGGGTGTTTAGGATCAGCGATACCTTCAAGTTTAAAATTTCTACATACTCTGAATGAGCATGGGCTGAAGGTGTGTGTGTGAGAGAGAGAGACAGACAGGAGTCCTAGGCTGACTGAGATGCTGGCATGCCTGCTAGGGAGCGGTAAGTCTCAAGCTGGCTGGGGAGTGGGGGTCCCTACTGCATGCCAGGTTCACAGCTCCTGGCCCAGACCCCATTTTGGCTGCATGGAAGGAACTATCTGAGATTCCCACTTCTGCCCCAACCTTGCAGGCAAAAATGTCATGCAGTCTGGGCCAGGCCTGGCCTTTGCCCTGGCCCTGAGTCTACACCCCGGGCAGCAGGTTCAGGAGTCATCCCAGCAAGGGTGGCATCTATTCCAGTCTGACCTCTCTTCCAATTCGAAGGAAGGACCTGAAATAACAAGCAAGCTGCTGGTGCCAGGTGGAGGGAGTGGCAGGAGGTAGGCAAGGAGATGGGGTCAGTGTGTGAGCAAACACACGCAGGGAGAGAGCCCTGTGGGCCGTGAGATCCGGCTCCAGCTGGCCAGGCCCCCTTGAGGTCACTGTCTGTGGAGTCTCCCTGGAGAGCTCCCAGGAGCAGAGCAGGCCCCAGAGCCCAAGGCTGTCATGAAGAACCCCCCTGGGTAGCCCCTGCCCTTCCCCCTTCACTGGGGTCAGGGTGAGGCGTCACATTCCTAGAGGAGCTAACCAGGAAATGGGGGGCCTGTGTTCCTTCCATCTCCCCAGCCCTTGCAACCTCCCTCTCTGCTTCTTGGTGAGAGATGGGGCTCTTGCCCCTGCCCCCACCTTGCTCCTAATATCTTCCTCGAGCCCCCTTTCTTGTCCTGAAGCACCTGATGAGGATCTCCAAAATACTAATAATTCACAGCTGCTTACATTTCCCTAGCTCTCAGCACTTGCCAGGGTCTCATGTGATCTTCTCTACCATCCCAAGTGGGAGGTGGGCAGCATGATGGGTGCTACCCCCATATTGCAGAGGAAAAGCTAAGGTTCAGAGAGATCACCCAGCTGGACCCCAAGCTGCTCCTCCTCCAGTCTGTGCTGTGCTGGATTGATTCTCCGGCGGCCACTAGAGGACTGGCTTGGCATCTTAGGCACCTCTCCACCCTCTCCCCCTCCCCAGCCAAGCCCAGCCCAGCCCAGTAAGATTCAGTCATGGAGGGTAGCCTTGCTGAAATCAAGTGAAATCTTAGGAATTCACCCCACTAGGCAAAGCCTGTGGCCTCAAGAGAGAGAGACCCAGGAGGCCAGGGAGGTGGAGGCTTCCTCCCCCACCCCAGCCTCTTTCTCATCCCTCCCTCGGCAACTCCAAGCTGCTCACCCCCAGCGTGGAGCATGGCTGTCTGGATGGAGGGGAACCAGGAGGTCTCGCTGTTGCTGGCCTGAAAGTCACGCTGCAGGTCGGTGAAGAAGATGCCGATGCATGTGGGGAAGCCCAGGGTGAGGCCGTGGGTCACCAGGGAAGCCAGCAGTACCACCCAGGCCCAGCAGCCCTCCGGGCGCTCCAGGGCCTGGGACATCCTCTGTACCGAATGCTGCTGCCACGGCCTCACCGCCACTGCTATCACTGCCTGGGCTGCCTGGGGAGGGGACAGAATGGAGCTGCCAGCCCTCACCCCGCCCACTTACCACCTTCCCTGGGCAGCTGAAACTGTCCCTTCCTCTCGCCCCACACCAGGTATCACAGAGGGGCACCGCCCCCTGGGAGGTGGCCAGAGGACCCACGCGTTGGCCTTGGCATCTCCTTTCACCCACTTCCCAGAGCCAGCCTGTCAGGAGAGGCAGGAGAGACAGGAGGGGCAGGCAGGTGAGCCATCAGTGGAACAGGCAGGGGGGTGGAATTCTTTCTAGTCATTACATCAGTTGGTGGTCAGCAGGTGGGACTTCCCAGCCCAGCCTTGGGCCCTGCACACAGCCCTCAATAATTGCTTGTAGAAATCTTTAGAGCCAGTGTAGTCCCAATGGCCCCACAGGCACACACTGAGACATTTTCAAACATTCTTAACCAGGCTTCCTGCAAACAAACACAGACTTTCGCAACGCCACGTTTACAGCAAGGTTCACTCTCGGTGCTGTTGTGAAGGTCAAAGTGAGCAAGCCAGTGCTGGGTGCAGCCAAGGAGTGTACACAGAACAGCTTCACAAGAGCACCCAACAAGCAGCTCTCAAGGAGAAGGCCCAGGTCTCATCTGAAGGCCCTCTGAAATGCTCCTTTCTCAAGGAGCTCATGACCAAGAGTCAAGTTCCACAATCATACTGAACAAGGATATCCCACCTGCAAGGGCTTCTCTGAGCACCCCCACCACACACGTACAACACATGCACACACAGATACATACACAGTCACACACGGATGTATACCAAGATACACACACAGACACACTTACATAGAGACACACCGACACATACCACACAGCAGCACTCTTACATAGGCACACACACACTGAGAGAAGTCCAGAGACAGACATACACAGTCACACAGACATACACAGACACATATACACAGACACACGCAGACAAGCCCAGAGACATACAAACAAATGCACACAGACACATGCTACAGAGACATACACACACAAACACAAGGTCACATACTCTGCACACACACACACCCTCACATCTCTGGTTCAGTCCTATCTCAGTTCCTCGCCACCACCCAGGCCCCTCACCCTCACCCCAGAAGCTGCCATAACCAGGCCTCAAAGCCCCAAAGCCCCCTCCCCAAGTGCTGAGCCCTTTTCCAGTCCCCTCCATCCTGGCTGTCCTCCTGCTCCGGTCCCGCACCGCCCTCAGACCTCACCCACACTCAGGCCTTCAAGATGCAGCAGGCAGTGGGAGCAGCCTTCGCCTCAGTGAAGCCAAGGATCCCATGAGCCACTGTTCCCACAGCCTCCCTCCTTTTAGCCCTAGGTCCTGGGAAGATCCATAAAAACTCAGGAAACTATCAGAAATATGAAACCCCCTCTTCTTGCCAAGCCCAGCACCCCACACCTTCCCCCCAGGCCCAGGAGCTTGAAAACAGCACCGAAGCTGGAGCCACCCTAAATTGCCTGCTTCACATGCTCCAATCCCTCCTCTGGGCACAAAGCCTCCTCCCTCCCCAGAGAACCCCCAGGAGCCCTGCCAAGGTGAGCGTCCCATTCATCTCAGCCTCAGGGTGTGTGTGTGAGTGTGTGTGTGACCTTGAGCCCCAAGTGCAGGCTGGTGCACCTCCTGCCCTCCTGACTCCTGCACGTGACACTGGCCCCAGAGATACCCCAGCCCCATCCTCCTGGCCAAGCTCCAGGCTCGGGGCAAACCTCAGATACGGGCTCCTCCAGCAAACTGGCTCTTGCCTCTGCCAGGATTTCTGTTCCCTCAGCAAATGGAAAGGCCACCGGTGCCACCTGATCCTCTCTGTGCTGACCTGAATGTCAAGTCTCTGCACCCATCTCCATTGCTCTCCCCTCCTCCCCAACACTTCCCAGACGCGCAGCCTTCCTGGACCTGCCTCTTTCCCCTCTTCCTCCCAGAAGGGCCACCAGCCTTCCTCTGCTGCCCTCCTCCTGCCCTTCCCTTCACTGCCCCCCCTCACCCCTGACACTCCCAAGCCCTGGGACTCTCTTTCCCTTCAGAGCAGCACGCTGTCACTGACCCAGAGGTGGCAGGGAGGAGGGGAGATCAGAGAGGAGACACGTGGGGGGGCCTGGAGTCTGGACCCCAGCCCAGCTCCCCCCTCCCCCACACTCCCCGGCTCTGGTCCCTTGTTCATCCTTATCCTGCCCCTCTATGGAGAGGTCTCTTTAATGCCCTTCTCAGCAGCCACTTCTCTGGGCAGCCCCTTGGGGATTTTGTCCAGGATTCTGACTTTCACTGTGCACCCACCTTCCCTCTGAACTTTCCAGTGGGGCTGGCTCTTCATAGCTTCTCCTCTCTCCAGGCCTCCCAGGACAATCAGAGCCCAGGAAACCCTAAGCACCTTTGCTCTCTCTTTGCAAGCTTGGAGCCCTGCCGCCCAGGTCTGAGAATCCCTGGCCTCCCTCTGGACTCTCCCCTGCAGACTCGGCCTTCCATGAGGGGGCCGTCTCCACCCATACCCCCAGCAACTCCCAGGTCACACCCGTAGCTTTTATGTCTAGTTGGTCCTCCACCCCCTCCCCCAGCAAGCTGGTCCCTCCTTAGGAACTTGGCTGCTGAGGTCCGAAATCCTTAGCCAGAGAGAAGTCTGGTTGGTCCTTCAAGATTCAGCCCTGGCAGCACTCCTAGGAAGCTACCCTGACCCCCACCCCAGGCTGGGGTAGGCCCCCTTCCTGTGTTTCTCTCCTTAATAGTAGTTTTCACATCAAACTGGAGTGGATCATTCCCTTGTTTGTCATTGTTGCCCCCATCCCTCCTCCCCTCTTCTACACTATGAGCAGGGACCTGTTTACATACCCTACCCAACCTCCAGCCAAGCACAAAATGAATATAACCCACCTGTGTTCCCCAGGGGGCAGGCAAGCCCAGGACCAAGGGCGACCCGGCTTCCTGGCAGGCAGGTCCATTCCAGAGACTCAGCGGGGCAGAAAGAGATGGGGCTGGGGACTCTGGCTCCACCTCTGTCCCAGCAGGGAAGTGGTCTTTCCTTTATACTGGGAACCATGAGTCATGATCACTGCCTGGCACGTGGTTGGGGCAAGGAGGGAGATCTGGCTGGAGACACTTCACTCACTTCCTGGGACTGGAGGTGAGCAGCTTTCCACAGGAAGTGCCGACCCCAGCTCTCAGGGCCGCGCAGCCTAGAATGAGACCATCTTCCAGCCCGAATGGCATGAAGCTGGGTTTGTGGGCAGGGCACAAGTTCAGATGACATTTCTCGTCCTCCCTTCACACAGCCCCCAGTCTGTTTTTAGGGCTTCCCATCTAATGATAGAGCCCTTGCTAGGGCCTCAGAATCCTTTTCTTGCCCCTCTGAGTTTGCAGGTATGGTCACAAGGGTGAGCCGATGCTCTCATGCAGGGGTTGGGGTCAGGGGGTTGGTGTCCAGAGTGGAGGAGCCGCCTCCTCTCCCATGGTGGGGGAACCAGTGAGAGGAAAAGGAGGAACCACCAACCCCAGGGCAGGGAAAGAATGGGCAGCCTCAGGCAGGCTCTGGAGACCTCCCTCCCTCCCCAGACCCCATATCAGGCAAGATTCCCCACCTGGAGCCCAGGACACTGTGGGTAGCAGTAGGCCTGAGCAGCAAGAGCTGGCTTGGGCTTCGGGCTGAGAAGCCCTCAACCCCTGCACATGGCAGGGGCCCCAGAAGGAAGGAAGTGGTTCCAGAGGTCGGTGAGCTGGGGCAAGTCACCATCCTCCCTTCTCTGCCCCCAAATGTGCCCCCACATTCCCTGCGCAGGCCGGCAGACCACAGCCTGGAAAGGGGATGGGACTGGCAACAGGGACTTCACAACCTCTTCTCAGCCTGGCCCCGTCCCTGCCGTCCTGGATCTGGTTTCTAGTAGGCTTTCCCACCCTCCCCAGGACGGATCTCCTCTGGGTGGGGCTCCCAGACGGCGCCGGCGTGGAGATTTCAGGTTGGGTGGTGCCCCTGCCTCCCCAACCCCCCAGGCCGTGGAGCGCAGGGAGTCGCTCTGGAGAGCCCCCCTCAGAGGTGGGGGTCCCCAATCATCCTAGGCCGGGGCAGCCCAGGAATGGGACAAGAAGACTTTTCTGGATCCTCACCCCCACAGGCGGGAAGGGGCCCGGGAGGCCCACGGCTGGCCGGGCCTGCGACGGCGCTGACGGGGATCCCGGCGGGAGGACACCTTGGGGACAGTGGGGGGCCCGGGGAGGCCGCTCACCGGCTCGCACGGGCCCGGCGGAGGGGCGGCTCCACTCCGGCCGAGCGCAGCTTCCTGCGACCCGGGCCGCCCGCGGCGGAGGCGGCAGGACGCCGGGGCGGGCAGCAGCGGGGACCGCGCGGAGAGCCGCGCCCCGGGAAGGGAGGGCCGAAGGCGCTGGTGGGCGGGACCACCCCGGAGTCGCCGGGAAGTGGGGGAAGGAGGCCTCGCCCGGAGGTGGGAGGGCAGGACAAGGCGGGGCCAGGGCCAGCACCCCTCTCCTCAGCCTGGCCTCCTCCTCCGGCGGCCTGGACCACCCAGCGGCCGGCTCAGAGGGTTCATTTGCATGTCGTTAGCGTGTAATTTGCATATCCCGCCAGCTCGCTTTCCGGCTTCTCGATTTTCCCGCTCCGGGTTGTTGGGCCCCCAGAAGTGGGAGAAGGAAAGCGTGTGATTAAGAGACTCCACCTCCCAGCGGGAGATCAAAGGATCTGAGTAGATATTTCTCCAAAGATATACAAATGGCCAACAAGCACAGGAAAAGATGCTCAACGTCATTAATTCACTGGGGAAATGCAAATCAAACCCACAATGAGACACCACTTCCCACCCACTAGGATGGATTACCTTCTGGGTGAATTACCTAGGAGATACTTGTGTCAAGTTGTAAGGCACGTCTTAGACACAAGGCATCGCTGTGCCTGTGGTTCATTTTCTTGCCGACAGTTCCAGTGCTGGGGTTGGCTCTGACATGGAGGGATATTCAGCTTGGCCTGAGGTTCCCTGGATACAAACTTTGGGAGGAGGGGATGAGATCTATTTAATTTATAGATGGTCATGGTCCTATAGGGATAGTCCCAGACCTTGGGAGGTCTCGTATGGAGGACAGAGGGGATCACATTCAGGGGTCTACACCATTTCGTCTCCCCTTATTTCAGCCTGGCCCAGTACTGTGAGGGGCAGTACCTGCCCCAGGTACTCAGAACAGGCTGAATGCAGCCCTCCACCCCATCCCTGGGTTCTCTGGCAGGACCAGGGACTCACTATGCAGGGACTTCCTGGAGGCTCTTACTCTCTAAGAAAAAATCAAACAAGGAGGTTTCCCAGGATGCCACTGCCCTCTGGGGAGCCCTGCCCTAACCTTCGACCTCTACTTCATCAAGATGAAATTGATAGAGCTGTGGGGACACCCCCTCCACCACCCTGGACTCTGGATGCCTCTCCAGAATGAGGCTCCCACCTGGCTGGGGTATGGTCACTGTGGCTGCTGTGCTCAGAACCAGAGTCTGTGGCTCCCACAGGCAGTCCCCACAGCCTTCCGCAACCTTCCTGTGTGACTGTGTCCCCTAAGTGCAGGTCTGAGCTCACAGCCTAGTCACCAGGCGCAGTTCTGTTGGGGCCTATGGCAGCTGTCAATGGGAGGGGGGCAGGGACCCTCATTTGGAAGGGTTGTCATCCTACAAATAAGGGAATCGAGACATCTGCTCAAAGAGAGAGGGAGGCACCTGCTCAAAATCATAAATCTGTAGGAATTAATAGTAAGTAATTAGTAATTAACAGCACAATTGCCGTACATCAGTAATAATAACCACCACCACCACATTCTATTGCTGGTCGGCTGAACCCCTGAGATCTTTGCATGGTCATGGCTGTTCCCTTTCCCTGAAACACTCTGTCCTGATGATTCTTGTCTTTACTTGGTTGGCCCCTGATTGGCCTTCGGGTGTCAGCTTAGAAGCCCCTTCCTCCAGGAAGGCCTCCCAGACCTCCCAAGTTGAGGCATTAATCCTACTGAGTGGTGTGTGTCTCTCCTACTAAGCTCCCTGAGGCTTAGGAACTTTCTTGCCCTGTTGATCAGTGCTTTGAACTGATCAAAGGTGCTTAGAAATAGATGTTAGCTCAGAGCCAGTCTTCCTCAGCAAAAAGAGGAAGATTGGCATGGCTGTTAGCTCAGGGCTGATCTTCCTCACCAAAAAAAAAAAAAAGTGCTTAGAACAGTGAGTAGCATGGGATAATAACAGCAATAATAATAAGGATCAACAGGTATGGAGCATGGTTCTAAGTGCTGTCCAGGTACTGACTCACTGGCTGAATGAAGGAATGGAGTACTGTCCATCCAAGTCACTCCCCAGTTCCGGGATCTTAACACCCCAGACCCAGGGCCTGGGGTCGTTTCAAAAATATTTTAATTACTTGAAAGCTCCAGGATGGGCTCCTGGTCTTTCGTCCCTTCTCCCCAGGTCTGGCCTCTGCTGTGACCTTGTGGTGTCCCTGGCATGGCCAGAGGTGCCCTCTGCTGGGACCATGGGGACACTCTGTCTGTCGTGTCTCTCCTGGATGTGGCTGGTCCCTCTGCATCTTCTTGTTCGCAGTCCCTCTCCTGCTCCAGTTCCAGGGCAGCTGCTCTGTCCTTTCTCCACTTCGCCCCCTTGGCCTGTTTTCTCTACTCCGCCCAGGGCATGTGGCTCCAGAAGTCCTAGCCGTACCACCTAGCTGGCTATTTCCCCGAAGGCCCCCTGACCTCAGATCTGACAGGCGCAGTCTGTCCCAGGGCTGGCCATAGATGCTGGCTGTGATGTTGGGGCACCCATTGCCCCCCACCCCAGCTCCACTCCAGCCTCCAACTCCTGGGGAGTGGAGACGCCCTGATCTCTCTCACTCAGGGAGATTGCCTAATGCTGGGGCCAGGCTGGGGAGCAGGACAAGAGAAACCACAGGGTGACTGCATAGCCCCTGACTTGGTGTTGCCCCTGTGCTGAGCTCTGATTTCAGGCGTGTGGGAAGGGGCGATGGTCGTAACAGGCAGGCAGGCACTCCCAGAACTACAGCCTGGGCACAGCGCTTGCTGTGAAAGTCCACTCTGCCCCTCTTAGCCCAGGAAGGTGCTGTTGGAGGGGGGCTCCCATGGCTTTGGGGCACTGCTTCATCCTGAGGCTCCCCTGTCTTCTCCTGCTTCCCCCTTCTTGCATCTCTTACCCAGACTCTCTCCTCCAGCCTGCCCCCTCTCTCTGGAGCTCCAGGCCCATCTCCTAGTGATTTTCTCACTGTCACCCCAACTTCCTGTCCCCGCACCACGCTCACCGTCTTCCTCTTTAGCCCAGGCCCCACTTCCGTTCTCTGTCAGGGGCCTTCTTCTTCATAAACAGCTAACTGTCAGTTCTGTCTTTTTCCTTTGCGATCTTGCTCATATGTCTTCTCTCTTCCTGATGCTGGGGCCACTTCAGGCCCACATGGCCCAGACACTGAGCCTTGATAGGATCTCTCTACTCAGCCTCCCTGCCTGAATCACCAGACTCATCGTCCACAAGCACCCACTTTTCAGGGGCTGCACTGGAAAGCGCCCTACCCACTTTGAGTTCATGGACCACTCTGCCCACACATTGGCAGAGCTCTGGTCTGCACACCCATTTCCCAATACTCCCAGCCCACAAATGACAGCTCATATGTGGGATTCACCTCCTTACCCTCTGCCACCACATGTGCATTCCTGCCCTTCCCTCCTCCCATGTGCCCTCACTTCACTTCCCGAGCCTTCTCTCTCACCTCCACTCCGCATGGATCATGCAATCGGATCATGCCACTCCCCTGAGGGCCTCCATCCATTGTGCCCAGAGCACTCCAGAATCAAGTTCAGATTTCTCCTGGCCCCTAGTCTCCTGCTGCTCTCCTCCCTTCCTTTGCCCCAGCCCTGACTTGCTTTTGGTCACCTCCTCCCTTTTACACAGATGCTACCCCACTATCCTGGGTAACCCCCAGTGTTTGTGAGACAAAGGCCAAGTGCCCCCTCCTCTTCCCTAGTGGCCCCTGATGTCACAATTCCCAGAGCCAGGAGCACCCCGGGGGGTTATCTGCTTTGTGTCTCCAGCACCTGGCAGAGCATCCAACATTCAACAGGTGCTGTCTTGGTTTCCTGGGGCTGCCATAACCAAGGACCACAACCCGGGGACTTTCAACAACAGAAATTTATTCTTTCACAGTTCTGGAGGCCAGCAGTCCGAGATCAAGGTGCTGGCAGAGTTGGTTTCTTCTGGAGGCTCTGAGGGAGAATCTGTTCCTTGCCTCCCCCTAGCTTCTGGTGATGAGCGGTGATCCTTGGCTTGCACAGACGCATCACTGCAGTCTCTGCCTCCGTCTTCTCTCTGTGTCTGTGTATCTCCATGTCTCTGTTTTCTCTTCTTATAAGGACATCCGTCGTTGGATTAGGGTCCACCCTACTCCAGTATGACCTCATCTTGACTAATTACATCTGTAAAGACCCTATTTCCAAATAAGGTCACGTTCTGAGGTTCTGAGTGGACTTGAATTGGGGGGGACACTATTCAACCCAGTACAAGTGCCTATAGTGCACTCATGGCCTGATGGAGCCACCTGTCCTCAGAGTGCAGCCCAAGACTCACCTCCTCTGAGGGATCTTCCCCAGTGCTCCTGGCCTGTCCCCTTCCCACTTAGTCTCCTTCTTGCTTTAGGAACAGCGGGGTTTGGGGCATTTCCTGCTAAATCTAAAACTTCTGCTGGGCACAAGTCTACCCAGAGGAGTTCTGAATCATGCCGCTAGGCTGTTGTGTAAGATTGGCATTTAAACAAGCTCAGGTCTCTCCTAAAATGAAACAAAAACAAAAATCTACCCTCCTTCCACTCATATCCACCTCCAGCTCCTGCCCCGGCCCCCTCTACAGCCAGACTTGGTGTGACAGGCGCCTCCTCTCACTGGGTCCATTTCCACACCTCCCCTCCTCCCTCCGCCCTCTGTAGGCAAACTTTTGCCCCTTCTGGTCATGTTACCACATCCAATGAACATATTTAGTCCTCATCTGCCTAAAGCGTCTGACCCCGTTGACGCCTCCCTCCTTGAAATTCGCTCTTCCCTTGGCTTGCAGGGCCTCTTTCTCCCCTGGGTTTCCTCCCACTTCTCCGGCCATTCTTGTTTACCCTCGACCTTTGAATAGGAGAGCTCCACAGGCTCTGACCTTCACCCTCTTCTCTTCCCACTCTACACTCGTGGCTCCAACCACCACCTGTATACTGACGACCCCACAGTTTATACGTCTAGCCCAGATATCCAACCTGGCGCCTTCCCTTGTGTGCCTCAAAGTCCCCCAAGCCCAACATCAGCGGGAACTTGCCATCAATGCCATCCTGCTCCCCCACCCCCGCTAAACCTGGTCTTTCTTCAGTGTTTCCTGTTTCAGTAAATGGCAGCGCCAGCATCCACTTAGGTGCCTGAGTCAAATCCCGTGAGTTTTCTTGACCTTCTACCTCTCTTATGCCCCATATCCAACCCATAACCAAGTCCTGCCCACTTTACCTCCTACTATTTCTTCAGTCTGACCATGTACTATCATCTCTACCATCACTCCCTCCCAGACCAGCCACAGCCACTGTTGTCCAGCTCAGACCTCAAATCCCTGTTCATCAGCTGGACTGATGTTTCTGAAATGTAAGTCTGGTCTTGCCCTGCTGCTCACCCTGCTTAAAACTCTGCAGTGGCTTTCCGGGACTTGCAAGATGAAGACAAGCCCCTGGTGTGGCCTCAAAGCCTGGCCCTTGCCCACCCTTCCAGTCCCAAATCGCGCTCCCTCACTCACCACCCTCCAGCCACGCGCCCTCTCTGCTTGCTGCGCCTGCCTAGCTGCGGAGTCTTTACCCCTGTTGTCCTCCTGGCTTGGAGCACCCTCCTGACTCTCTTTGCCTGGATAACTCCTGTCATTTCAGATCACAGCTCAAGCATCACTTCCTCCAGGAAGCCTTCCCTGGTTTCCCTGGCGAGGCTGGTTCCCCCAGTTATTCCTCCTCCTAGCACATCTACCTCTCATCTCGGCCCTTTCCACAATTGTGCGTTTATATTGATTTAAATCAGGAGTTGCGCGCTTTTTCTGAAAAGGGCCAAATGGTAGATAATTTAGGCTTTGCAAGCCAGACAGTCTCTGGTGCAACTCCTCAACTCTGCCATTGTGGGCAAAAGCAGCCACAGACAACCCGTAAACAAACGAGCATGGCTGTGTCCCAATAAAGCTTTATTTATGGACACTGAAATTTGATGTCGTATATTTTCACGTATCACGAAATATTATTCTTTTGATTTTCTTCCCCATTGAAAAATGTAAAAACCTTTATTAGCTTGCAAGCTGTACAAAAAAGGTGATGGGCCATAGTTTACTGACTTCTGATTTAAACAATTCTGTGATGAATCTCTCTTTCTTGCCATCACTAGGTCATAAGCTTCATGAGGGCAGGGCTGATTCTTTCTTAGTGCACCATTGTGTCCCTACTGCCTGACCTATGGGAAGAATATTCTTCCCTCTTTTTCTGCCACCCCAGCTCAATGAATGTTTGTTGAATGAGTAAAAATAGCTAGGTACATAGGTTAACTCGCTAAATCCTCTATGTGGTGGGTACTATTATTAATTTGCTCTTTTCAGATGAGGAACCTAAGGCACAGAGAGGTTAAGTAATTTGTCCAACGTCACACAGTTATAAGTGGCAGGGCCAGGGTTTGAACCCAGGCAGTCTGGCTTTGGTGTCCATGTGCTTAACCACCACATAATGGTTATTGAGGACTGTCATGGTGGCAAGCTAAGCTCAGTGTGATGTGGCAAAATAACCCGTCTCCACCTCCTGACAGCACCACCCCCATATCCAGCGGGCACATGCTCAGGTCATCTTTGTTTCTTTAGGGATGCCTGGTGTGGGATGGCTCCTTGGTCATCTCTTCCCCTTAAGAATGTTTATCTCAGTGTGTGGCCAGATACACTCACCACTGAGACCAACATTAGGGCCTGTCCCTTCCACTCCCAGCCAGCACTGGAGCAGTCTTGCTTCCCACTGCATCCCCCATGGGGAGTCTTGTGCCTGGCCCACAGGAGGCACTCAGGGACATTTGTGGATCATTGGAGCAATCTGGGCAGAAATCTAACCATCAGTGTCAACTCCAACTGCATGTGAAACACAAAAGCACCAATACACATGTCCTCCGGGCAGGAAGACTCTGTAGCCATAAATGAGGATGATTCGGCTTGCAGAACCACTTGGCAGGGAGCATAAAGCCTTTGAATGGGTGCCCTTGGGCTTCTGATGCTTTGATTCAGATTTATTTTGGCAAGGGTGAGCGGCTTAGCAAATGTTGTTTAACTTTTCATTTGAAGTATCGGTGCACACAGACATTACTAACAGGGGCATTTTGGGTGTGACTGTTCTGAGCATTGCAGACATTTGGCATCCCTGACACCTCCCCCCAGTCCAGCTAAATTCCAGTAGCCCCTCCAGACGTGTGACACCCTCAACTAGAGTGAAGCAAGTGAGGCACTTGCCTGGGACTCAAAAGTTACAGGGACGCCAACAAAATTCAGTAATCAAGAGAAATAATAAATTAACGCAATATTTTTAGAAAATCAGATCAACAAACTCTCTGGCCAATGGAAGAGTCACCTGGTTTCATGGACAAACTTTTATTGGAATCAGTGCTGGGGTTAGTGTGAGGGGTATGAGGCAGGTAGCACCAGTGCCGGGTCAGATCTGGTCTTTATTTACAATTTTGACATTCTATCCCTCATGGATTTTTGCATTAATTTTGATTTTGTAAAATACTGCATTAAAATATTATCTTGATTCCTGAGTTTTTGGCATCTCTCCTTAAATTTTGTGCCTGAGTTGAGTGCCTCACTTGCCCCACCCTTGCCCCAAACGCACTGTGTTTCCCAACCGCCTGGTATGAGAAGCACTAGGAGTCATACAATCTTCAGTAAATATAAAATAAATGTCCCTGCCATTCTACAGATCAGGAAACAGCCGCTGAGAGAGGGGTGTGTCTCCCTCCTCACACACCCGCGAGAGCATCCTCCGCCTCACGGAATCTTTAGGCTGGGGGAGGTTGAAATGGAAACAGGAGGAATAGGCAGGTCCTTTGCTCCCAGCTGGGTCAGTGGGTACACGGACTCAGCTGCAGGAGGGAGCAGAGGGATGGCAAAGGGAGGAGAAGGAAGGAAGTGAGCAGCCATGCCTGGGCCACTCACACCAAGCCTGACCTGTCCCAGGAAAGGACCTGAGTGGCCTCCCATCCTCCAACCTCTGGAGGGGTTCCTTCAGCCCTTGGGTCAACGTTTATCAAGCACCTGCTATGTGGCAGGCGTCTGTTAAGCCCTGGAGACAGAGGCAAAATACCCAGCCTGCCCCTACGTCTGATGGAGAATTCATACACGAGATGAGGTGGGTGCCAGGAGGGACACATGGGAGCGTGTTGTGGGAGCAGAGAGGAGGGAACCCCACGTGGCTTGAGGAGAGGGGGTTCAAGATTGGCTTCTTGGAACACAGTGCGTCTTGGCTGAGTCTTGACTGAATAGGAGTACATAGTGAGTAAGTAAGTAATGAGGAGGAGTAAGGAAGGAGTGAGGGGGGAAGAATGCGCCCGGTGGAGGGGACGGCATGAGCAAAGGCCAGGAGGTGAGACACTTTGGGGGGTAGAATGGAGTGGGGCTGGTGACAAAGACCATGAGAGCTACTGAAGACTGATGTTTGTGGCAAGGAGCTGGGGAGTAGGGGTGGGGGTGAGACTGGGCCAGCAGGGCAGGCTGGAAGTGGCCCACCTCTTCTTAGCTGGTGGGACCTGATCCAGGAGGCCACCAGGTGCCTTCCTCACAGGAAAAGCACAGAGTTGAGTTTATGCTCTCTTGGGTGAGATGCTCTTGACAGCCATCGGGTACCAACTGTATGCCAGGCAGGGCCTCTGCCAGAGGCTCCCACAAACATCCTCTCCCTTCTACCCCCAGCCTGAGCACACCATCCCTTGGCGGAGGAAAGGGTTAAGGCTCCTTCCCTAGGCTCCTGCCATCTGGTCCTGCTCCCACGCTCTCCCATCTGTGGGACAGGATGATGAGACAGATGGAAACAGTTGTGGTTGCAACATCCTTTGGCCCCTACTTTGGCCCTCCTGAGTTTGGGTCAAACTTGGAGTAACATCGAGGAAGCAACATTTGCAGTTTTGGCTGGAATGCCACTTGCCACCCACCTCTAAGGGGACCTGGGGAAGGAGTTAAAACAAAGCTATTAGATAGATTTGTAGGATGTAATATTACGCAGCCAGTGAACAAGCCATTTTTGCATTTTGAAAGTGACTTTGGAAAATGCACACAGTATGATACTGGTGAAAATGCACGATGTGAGTTGTAACTCTATCTTCTAGCTATCAGCATCTTCAGTTGCTCCATAGCTCTATCTGTGTAAGAAGACTGGAAAGAAACACTCCAGGGGCCGGCCCCGTGGCTTAGCGGTTAAGTGTGCGTGCTCTGCTACTGGCGGCCCGGGTTCGGATCCCGGGCGTGCCCCGACGCACCACTTGTCCAGCCATGCTGAGGCAGCGTCCCACATACAGCAACTAGAAGGATGTGCAGCTATGACATACAACTATCTACTGGGGCTTT